CACGTCTTTCGTTTACGAGCAAAAACAACCAAGGAAAAGCACATTTTTGTTATCATGGCATATTAATTTAAGGCGTGAATTTCTTGCCTGACAAGCTTTGCAACTAGTTGAGTGCTACTGCGCACACTCGGTTTGCCCCGCACCGCTATGTCCGTCCGGCCAGGTCAATTTATAAGGGCAGTTTCTATCCCCCAAAATAAACTATCAAGCGGCCTCGTGATATTTTGGACATTGTGAAATATTACTGACGTATTATTATTAAATATACACACTAAACTCATGCTGTTACCTATACCAATAGATGATCTGAGAGAAGGATTCTCGTGTCCTTGATATTTTCTGAAATCTATAATAGTTTCGCGCTATGCTGTGAAAGTTATTCCATTAGAGCACTATCAGGCTCACGAAACGAAAACAAAGCCCAGGCAGAATAGGGTTAAGAGAAAATACACGGGTACGCTTGTGGTCGTATCTAAGAAAAGATACATGGAAATTTCAATGCACCTTCCCTTAGATATGACCACAAAGCATGTAAATGTCCATGTGTCATTTTGTAATTTTGACAGTGACGATAATTTTGCCAATACTTTTTCAAACACTTCCTGAGATTTTAAGCTTTAAAGTGCAAAGAAAATCGTTGCTTATATGCTTTGACAGATGTGTAACATTCATTGGTATTTTTTACCATGTTTGTTTCCTTTGTGACACGTCTCAGCAAATATTTCAACTTTCATTTCCGTATATTACCACAACAGTACTGAAAACTCCGCTCTTGGCCCGGAGGATTTGTAACGACTTTTTTTCTAACCCAAAAGCTAAACTATAAATCAGCACTGCTAACGTGTAGCTGTAAAGCTTCTTTAATACTCCTGCGCGTTTCGTTTCGTCTGACTAACGTAGACTTCGTCTACCCTATTCCAGAGTAAAATTACCGATCTTCGTGCCAACTTCTGGAAACTGATACCCTGTTCTAGACCAAAATATGCCTTTTGGTTTACCCTGATTCAGAGCTAAAATGCTCAAAAGCCATACCCTGTCCAGCGGCACGTACCTAGTATATAGCGTATATAAGGAGTACCCCCCCCCCCCCCCTCGGGGCTCTTGGGAACTTTTTAGGAATTCACATTTTTCTTACCTGTTTGCGTAGTTATTGTAGTTGACAATATTAAGGCCATATTGCGCCAAATGTTTTACCAGCCTTTTCAAAATAATGGTCAGAGATGGCATTCATTGCCAGAATTTTTTATTTTTTATGGAAACAATAACGTTGGATTGCTAAATTTGTTAGAATATCTCCGTGGGTTTTAGAACTTGTTCTTGAAGGAAGTGACCAGTCCTTCGCAGCCTTATTTGCGTCGTCACGCTACACTTCTCCTGAGGGCTTCAACGCTTCTCCGGCTGCGAAGGAGACTAAGGAAGACTATGCAATGCAACAAATTGAAACTTAACATTTTATTGGACTCCTATTTACATTCAGCACGAAATTTAGCATATAATTAATTTCACTCCATCCGCGACATTCCATTTTTATTGTGACGACATTGAGTTATCGAAACGTCATACGTCATTACAATTTGTATCTGTTAATAATCACTATGGTAACTTATGTTGTGTGGCACGTGGTTTGATTGTTTTTACAGAAATGTAATGGTCACCTGACCATGCCCAGCTGTTTTATAACAACATTCATTTTGCTGATATTTTCCAGCGTTGTAAGATCCTCCGCCTCCCCACAGGAATCATCTTCTTCCCCCCCACTGCTCCCACCTGAGTACCCCCCTCCGCCTCCACCACCTCCGCTCCATCCATCAGCACCACCACCGCCCCTAAAACCCACCCATGATAAAGTTAAACAAACCTCTTTCACCCACACCTCCCTGAATAAATCCCTTGCCCCCTTCTCCACGCATGTCCCATGGTACCCACCGAAATCAGTTGAACTTCTTCCACTGGAGTAAAAACCGCCGCCACCACCACCTAAAAATGATAAAAAAATCAGACGCATTCATAAGGCTAAGTTGGATAAATGTTCTAGCGATACATCTGATCAATTTAGTTGAGAGAAGCTACTAAACACTACCACCTAGGAGTAATGGATACCTGGCGAATTGTCAGGGTTACCTGACCAAAAATGCTGGGGGCTACCTGCGATGGACAAGCATCCCATCCAGGGAAGTAGCGACACTTATTAAGTAGCTTCATGCTATGGAATCGGAGTTAAACGCCGACCTGATAAGCCACTAGGCTTGTAGCTTTTTATTTTGTAATAACTACTTTTGGTGGACATGAAAGTGGTTTACCATGATATACTCTCACCTGAACTATCATCATCAGAAGCGTATGCACCATGTCCATTACTCCCCCTGACCATGACTTGTACCCAGGATTCCCTGCTGTACTTTGTGTTATCATCACATCCTGCATGTTTGACTCTACACGTTGTACGCCACCTCGGCCTCCTGCAGCTATTAACAAAGACGTACTGTTGCTTCCTCTCACTACAAATGTACCTCCACCGCCTCCAGAGCTGAAATCGGCAACGTTAATTCCTCCTTCTTGACCAACAAGTATTTGAATTATTTCACCTTTGGATAAGTTGAAAGTTCCAATCATTATTGCTCCTCTTCCTCGGTACTGAGAGCTGTTAGGGTATCTATCGAACCCCCCTGCGGCTCTTTTGCTTCTATTCTGTAGTAACCAGTGTACGGCACAGTCCACTGTTGAATACCGCTGGACAGTGTAACTTTGACCGTCATGATCCTGACCTCTGTAGTAACTACCAAGTGATGTTGGACCATATCTTCCAATCGCACCGAGATTTGTAAAGACAGCTTTGAACGCTAAAGCAACAACACATTCAAACAATGCAAAAACAACAACAACAATATAAACAATGCAAGCTTAAAGCCTGGCTTACACGTACAACGCAAGCATAAGCGCAAGGATAAGACCAAGACTGTTCACACGTGCGAGAAGCATACGCACAAGGTGACATATGCAGTCGCAGTGCCTTTAAATTTTTTTATCAACATTGCATCATCCAATATGGCGGACGCTTTCTTGTGCTTGCTCTTAAGTTATCCCGGTTTAAACGAGCGAACGCAACGACGTAAGCATAAGCGCAAACACAAGAACAAGGAAATATTTCCTTTTAATTATTTTGCTTGTGTTTACGGCTTCCACTTGTGCTTGCGTCGTCCAGGTTTACACGTAAGTTTCTTGTGCTTATGCTTGTGTCGTACGTGTAAACCAGGCTTAACGAGTACAACAACAAAGTAAACATGTACCTTTAAGCTGCTATTATTTCATTCTGAAGCTAACCTTAACGTAAACTAGCATACTTTTCCTCTATATAGTGTCTGAACCCTTGCCATATATATTTTTGGCAACATATCTTATTCGAGTTTCAGAAGCAGCCAATAACAACTAAAACAAAACTAAATCAAAATAAAATAAAATAGAATAACATAAAACGAAAAAAACAACCTGTTTCGCAATGCTTGCCATTAAACCCAGGAGCACAGCTGCAGTTGTATCCATTCACTTCATCACTTATGCAGATTCCATTGTTCAGACAAGGATTACCAAAGCACTGATCAAGATCTGATTCCAGATAAATTCCTCAGTTGACTGCTATTAAATCAGTATTTAGCCATAACCGGGTATTTTTTGGTCTTTTGCGACCGGGGGATTCAGCATCCCTCTGTAAGAGTATTACTGTGCGAATAAACAAGCGTGAACACTTTTTATTTTATTTTATCCTTGACATGATCAAATCGCAAGAAGAATAGTTGGCACCCTCAAATTTATACTTTGGTTTTGCAGAAAAGCTTTGCAAAAATAGTAATAAAACAAATGCAGGAAAAAAGATCGATTTTTGCCAAAGGAAAATCCAACTGTTCAATCAAAGTGTTCACTGTTTTCTGATTCGTACAGTAAAGCTGCGACAATGAAACTTAGAGGATATTTAGTATGTGCAAAGATGGTTCCTTTGCCGTTACGCAAAAATATGATAAAATCGTCATATGACGAGGGAATTGACCATCCTTGTTTACTTGTGGTTCATTATTATCGCTACTATTATTATCTTTATTATCTTCTACCTCCTGATAATCGATTATTTTCCCCAGTCAATTCAAAGGTGATATGCATTGAACCTAATCTGCCTTGCCTTGGGACAGAGTAGGCTCACGTGACTGCAACCGGCAGCCATGTTTGTTTGACATGTTAATTCTTCTGTGAAAATTTAGAGCTTCTCCGGTAAATATTTTTAAGAATTTTGGTACGCAAAACGAAATGGAATTTCCTAGAATGAAACATGAATCATAAACAAGTAAGAAGTGTAAGACCTTTGGTAATGAGATTTAATCAGTTGAACGGAAAGCAAGACATTCGAACCGTCCACCTCCCTGTCTTGAAACATATATTTTATTTTGAGCATTGTATTTCCCAGGATACCGAGGTATAACAGAGGCATTTTGTGACAGTGTGATTTAAAACAAAGCAAATATGCTCACGGTAAAATAAATAACCAATTTACAGCCGCTGGTAAAAGGTAAAGCCGTTTGAGGCCAAACTGGCCCACACTGCCGGAGATTATCCCGCTATAAAAAGTTACCTTAGCATTAAATCGACTAGGAGTATCTCTACTCCCCCTGAACGGGACGCAACTCCTTCGCAGGTTTTATTACCCCCAGCATTTTGTTAGGTTGCCCTAACAGTTTCGCCCGTTCTCATTTATACTCCTGGGTGGCGAGAGGCACTGTTAGAGTTTTAGTGTCTTGCCAATGAAGAACACAACGCAGTGACCCCCGGTCATGGCTTTAACCCGGACCGCTCGATCCGGAGTCCAACGCGCTAACCATTAGGCCACCGCATCTCCCACCCCATATTATATAGTGAAGAAAAAACTATAATACAAAACAACTTGCCGAAACAAAAAAAACGCGTCCGTCAGTTTGCAGATTATTCGGAAAGGACATTTCGATCGTAAACATGGCTAGTCGTGGATACAAACATTTCCTGCGATTAGAATGATATCTACCATATTGAGAATATGTCTGTTTCTACGAGAGAATTACCAAGCTAAGGGAAGGGAATATTATTTTCAGGACTGACCATAACAACGTTTATACATATCATAAATTATCTTAGCTTACCTCTGTGGTCATGTGCATCGGTACACGTGGGAGACCTCTTCTGCAAAGCATACAGGGTGATGAATACGATTGAAATGATCAGTAAAATGAATGCAGCTACAGACAATATTTTGATATATGTGGTGGTTCCTAAACTTCGCATTTTCGTACTGAACAAAATTTCTTGATCATCGTCAAATGGCTGGGGCATGTTGGAGCGCACGTGAAATGTTCAAATCAACTTTTTTATCGGGAGATGAGTAAAAGCTTGTATGAACTAGAAAAGTTGCGGCTAAATGGAATTAAGTTGAAATTTTAGCTGTTTATTCATGCAATGAGGTTTAAGGAAGGTTTCGTTTTTCTGTATTAAATTTTGCATTACAGGTAGCTCAGGTTTCCAGTACGAGAAAACGAGGATAAATTAATGATTTCTGCAATCGTTTAATCTGTGACGTATGAAATTCTTCATAATTAGATAAAGTATGCTTGTATGCTGTACGTTGATCAGAAGGAAAATAAAATAACATCCACAGCATGGCGCGAAACTATTAATATATTAAAAATATATATCATGGAGCACAGGGAATCCTTCTCTTAGATCATCCTCTCTTGGTCAAAAACTATCCTCCTGATACAACTCCAGGTACAACTCGATCGACTTTCTTTGTCGAAACAATTTGTTTCCAGTCATTCTGCGCTCAGTGATCATGCGCAGTGATCATGACTGAATGCAGATTACAACTTACTCTACGCTTTTATTATTTATTATATATTTGTTTAACACAAGCAAACAAACAAACAAATGCAATGTACCAGAAAGCTTGTTTATTGATAGCTGCAGCACACTAAGTTTCCAGTATCAGCTACAATGCTACGAGAGATTATAATATTTAAACCAACTAATTTATGACTAGCTAAACGTTTGAAAATTTGAAAATCAATTGCAGAAAATAAAAGCTAAGTTTTATGCAGAGCTAAAATAAGGCCCCACTAGGAACCTTCAATAAGCCTTAGAAAACAATCATGTGCAAACCGTGTTTAACTGAATAACTTTAAGTCATGTTTTACTCTAGGTGTGTACCGGATCGTTAGATTAATTAGGGCGGGCTAATGAATATAGAATGTTCCAAGTAAAGTGTAAACCCTGCTATCACTTTGAATCATTTTTGACGCTGTCTTATCAACTTTGATTAACTCTAGAACTCCATACAGTGATTTAAGGAACATATTATTAATATTAAACTACATTTCTTTAAGTTATAGTACTACTTCTCTAAGGTATAGTTCACCCAAAAAGCATAACCGTCATTAAATTATAAGAATTTAGTCTTTAATCGGATTTCACCTTATTATTATTTTTGACTCATTATCAAATTAGACCCTAAATGGTTCTGACCAAAACGTCCCTTAAAAAGCCATGGTCAAGAGTAACCAATAACAGTGTAACACTAATGCTATTCTTGAAGGGAAACATAGAAAATACTAAAATATTAGTCATAAACTCAATTTATTTTCTCCAATGTTTGTTTTACACATTCCCTGGTTAGATGGGAGCATTTTAGTTTGTCTCGTGCATATCGCGAGAAAGAAAACAATATAAGCGAGGTGTTACGCTGTTCAGTGGCAACTGAAACAAATCATATTTTGAGTAAATGTGGTTATATATTAAATAGAACGTACCTGGGAATTTATGCTGTACTTTTTATCTCGCGGAATGGGAAAGGAGCGCACTGAAACTTTGTTTATGACGGACGAGCACAAAGCTCAGAGAAAAGTGGGCGTGAAGCTAAGTATCGCTTGTCAGGAGACTAGGGAGGATATACCCCCTTTCACAAACTGAAATAATTACTCTATTGTCGTGTATTGTCGTGATTGATTCAGCTGCATTTTTTATAAGCTTTTATGCGTCTTCTAATAACAACAGTCGAACCTCCGCTAACGAACACCTCCCGTAGGCGGGCAGTTGGTCCTGTTCCCAACTACATACAAACACTACATTTTTAACCTCCCATAAGCGGATACCTCTCTTAAGCGGAAACTTTTCTGTCCCGATGGTGTCCGCTTACGGGAGGTTCGACTGTATTTTAAAGTGATATATTGCGTGGCAGTGGATTTTTTTCTACACTAATGTAATGGTCACCTGACCATGGCCAGCTGTTTTATAACAACATTCATTTTGTTGATTTTTTCCAACGTTGTAAGATCCTCCCCCTCCCCCACAGGAGTCATCATAATTATCTCCACTACTGCCCCCAGAGTACCCCCCGCCACCTCCAGCACCCCCACCCGCTCCAGAAGGACCTGCCCCTCCTCCAAACCCACCGTCGATACTTCTAGACCAGGATCTTCCACCCACCCCTCCCTGAAGAAATCCCCTACCCCCTTCTCCACCTGTTCCCATGGTACCACCAAAGTTCTTTGCACTTCTTCCACTGGAGTAAAAACCGCCACCGCCACCGCCTAGAAACACATAAAAATAGAAAATGGAAATTTTTGCTCATTTGTTTGTGCTTGACGTGTCGCAATAACGAAAAAAATATAGTAGGGATGGGGTGGGGTACTGTGGTAAAGCAAGCCCGTGGAACGACAATTTCCTAAGGTTTCTTTTGGTTTTTACCAGTTATTAGTTTGTGCACAATTATAATATACACTCACCTGAATAAACGGCTACCAGCAGTCTGTGCACCATGACCATTGCTCCCCCCTGTCCATGATCTGTACCCAGGATTCCCTGTGGTGCTCGTGGAAGCATCACAACCTGAATGTATTGAATTGACAGATTGCCCGCCTCCTCCGCCTCCAGCTATTATCAATGGCGTGTTACTTCCTCTCACTACAAATGTACCACCACCGCCTCCAGCAGAATTATACACGCCGTTAATTCCTCCTTCTTGACCAACAAGTATTTTAATTATTTCGCTTTTTGATAAGCTGAAAGTACCAATCATTCTTGCTCCTCTTCCTCGGTACTGAGAGCTGTTAGGGTATACATCGAACCCCCCTGCAGCTCCTATTGCTTCTATTCTATAGTCACCAGTGTGCGGCACAGTCCACTGTTGAATACCGCTGGACAGTGTAACTTGACCGTCATGATCCTGACCTCTGTAATAACTACCAAGTGATGTTGGACCATATCTTCCACTCGCACCCATATTTGTAAAGATGGCACTGAAATCTGGTTTATTCAGTCAAGACAACAGTATACATTTCAAGACGAGCAGATACATTTGTAACTACGTTTGTTATATTGCTACTAGGTCTAGCCAGGAGCCCATTACCCGGAGCGAGCAACTCCCATATTACGCCTATATTACCGCGTTTTGACAGACCGGTTTATTTTTAGATTCCTTATTTGATCTTATTTCTGGGAAAATATGTGTTTCTGGTGACGTGAGTATTATGTTATGAAATAAAAGAAAAGAAAAAAATGGCGACCTAATTGCGTCCTTTGTTACGGCGGTGACGCCAATTAATAATTACAGAGGAAAAACTTTTGATTGTCTAGCGGGAATAGGAATTTTGAACAATAACATTTATTTGTACTAAAAAAACAATATGAAAAAATACAAAATTATCAAATAGCTACTGAAAGTAATTTAGTAAAAAAATGAGTAACTGCAACGAAACAATGCGTGAGTAGTGAAATATCAAAGTTCAATGTCTGAATTTTGCATCTTTTGGTTTCCCGGGCGAATGCTACTTGTTTAACCCTATTCTGCCTGGGCTGTTTTTTTCGTTCCTGAGCCTGGTGGGGGGGGGGGGGGAGCAGATAGTGCCCCCCCCCCCCCTATATATCTCGAAAAGTATTGACGTTATGAAAATGAAACTTACATGGTGTGTAAAGCATCCGAAAATCTTTATTTGAGTGGCAGTCACGTGTCAATTATGACGTCATACGTTAAAAAAATCCGCCATCTTGGATACTAAATCTTGGACTTCTAAATTGTTCAGAAATATCAGAAAATCTCCAAATTTGTTTGAAAAAATCAAGAAAATATAAAGGTGCTAAAACGGCAAAGATTTTGGAAATATTTCATCGTAAAAAGCAAACATTTTATGAAAACTGAAAATTAAGCTAAAAAATCAACAAATTTGGGTAAAACGATCTGTATCTCGAAAAGTATTTGTGCTATAAAAATGAAACTTATGTGGTGAATAAAGCATTCAAACATGTTTATTTTAGTGGCAATTACGAATCAATTATGATATCATATCACGCCGAAATAACGTCATACTTTAAACCTGTCCGCCATCTTGGATCCGCCATCTTGGATTTTTCAATTGTTCAGAAATGTCAGAAAATCACCAAATTTGATTTGAAAAAATCGAAAACAATATAATGATGCAAAAAAAAGAAGAAAGTCTTCGTAAAAAGCGAAAATCTCATGAAAACGGAAATTTAAACTGAAAATACCAAATTTGGCTAAAACGGCCTGTCAAAACTTGGTTGCCATGGAAACATCAAGTCACGTGATCAAAAAATTGGCACACCCAAAATGTTCCCAGATAATTTTTAGGAAAAGTCATAAAGTTTGGCTACGATTGCTTGAATGCTCTTTAAATACGATAAATTTGAAGTCAGCGCGGGCACTTTCTGCCCCGCCCCCCCCCCCCCCCCCCCCCCCCCCAGGCAGAATAGGGTTAAGGGCCTAACTTACTTTGAATATCCTTATTACTATTTCGATACTATTGCTAACATGGACTAGCCTTTATTCTTACCTTGCTGAACATGATTCAAGGC